GGGTTTTTATCTTGCTCCTTCATCTGCTGTGTGTTTTTCTGTCTTCTCATTTTGCTTATCTTACTGTGTTTGGGGTCTCCTTTTTGCAGGCTGCAGGTTTGTAGTTCCCGTTGTTTTTGGTGTCTGTCCCCAGTGGCTAAAGTTGGTTCAGTGGGCTGTGTAGGCTTCCTGGTGGAGGGGACTAGTGCCTGTGTGCTGGTGGATGAGGCTGGATCTTGTCTTTCTGGTGGGCAGGTCCACGTCTGGTGGTGTGTTTTGGCGTGTCTGTGGCCTTATTATGATTTTAGGCAGCCCCTCTGCTAATGGGTGGGGTTGTGTTCCTGTCTTGCTAGTTGTTTGGCATAGTGTGTCCAGCACTGTAGCTTGCTGGTCGTTGAGTGAAGCTGTTTGCTGGTGTTGAGATGGAGATCTCTGGGAGATTTTCGCCATTTGATATTATGTGGAGCTGGGAGGTCTCTTGTGGACCAGTGTCCTGAAGTTGGCTCTCCCACCTCAGAGGCAGAGCACTGACTCCTGGCTGCAGCACCAAGAGCCTTTCATCCACACGGCTCAGAATAAAAGGGAGAAAAAGCAGAAAGAAAGAAAGAAAGAAAGGACGGAAGGAAGGAAGGAAAAAGAAGGAAAAAAAGGAAGGAAGGAAGGAAGAAAGAAAGAAAGAAAGAAAGAAAGAAAAAGAAAGAAAGGAAAAAGAAAGAAAGAAAGGAAGGAAGGAAGAAAGGAAAGAAAGAAAGAAGGGAGGGAGGGAGGGGTAGGGTGGAGGAAGGAAGTAAGGAAGGAGGGTAGGAAGGAAAGAAAGAAAGAAAGAAGGAAAGAAAGAAGATAAAATAAAATAAAGTAAGATAAAATAAATTAAAGTTATTAAAATAAAAAATGATTATTAAGAAAAAAAATTTTTTTAAAGAAAAGCAAAAACAGAAAACGGATGGATAGAACCCTAGGACAAATGGGGAAAGCAAAGCTATACAGACAAAATCTCACGCAGAAGCATACACATACACACTCACAAAAAGAGGAAAAGGGGAAAAAATCATAAATCTTGCTCTCAAAGTCCACCTCCTCAATTTGGGATGATTCGTTGTCTATTCAGGTATTCCACAGATGCAGGTACATCAAGTTGATTGTGGAGCTTTAATCTGCTGCTCCTGAGGCTGCTGGGAGAGATTTCCCTTTCTCTTCTTTGTTCGCACAGCTCCCGGGGCTCAGCTTTGGATATGGCCCCGCCTCTGCATGTAGGTCGCTGGAGGGCGTCTGTTCTTTGCTCAGACAGGACGGGGTTAAGGGAGCCGCTGCTTCGGGGGCTCTGGCTCACTCAGGCCGGGGCGGGGAGGGCGGGGCACGGAGTGCGGGGCGAGCCTGCGGCGGCGGAGGCCGGTGTGACGTTGCACCAGCCTGAGGCGCGCCGTGCGTTCTCCCGGGTAAGTTGTCCCTGGATCCCAGGACCCTGGCAGTGGCGGGCTGCACAGGCTACCTGGAATGGGGGTGCGGATAGTGACCCGTGCTCGCACACAGGCTTCTTGGTGGCTGCAGCAGCAGCCTTGGCGTCTCATGCCTGTCTCTGGGGTCCGCGCTTTTAGCCGCGGCTTGGTCCCGTCTCTGGAGCTCCTTAAAGCAGCGCTCTTAATCCCCTCTCCTCGCGCACCAGGAAACAGAGAGGTAAGAAAAAGTCTCTTGCCTCTTCGGCAGGTCCAGACTTTTCCCTGGACTCCCTCCCGGCTAGCCGTGGCGCGCTAACCCCCTGCAGGCTGTGTTCACGCCGCCAACCCCAGTCCTCTGCCTGTGCTCCGACCGAAGCCCGAGCCTCAGCTCGCAGCCCCGCCCGCCCCGGCGGGTGAGCAGACAAGCCTCTCGGGCTGGTGAGTGCCGGTCAGCACCGATCCTCTGTGCGGGAATCTCTCCGCTTTGCCCTCCGCACCCCTGTGGCTGCGCTCACCTCCGCGGCTCTGAAGCTTCCCTCCCCGCCACCCGCAGCCTCTGCCCGCGAAGGGGCTTCTAGGAAACCTTTCCTCCACGGCTCCCTCCCAGTGGTGCAGGTGCCGTCCCTATTCTTTTGTCTCTGTTTATTCTTTTTTATTTTGCCCTACCCAGGTACGTGGGGGGTTTCTTGCCTTTTGGGAGGTCTGAGGTCTTCTGCCAGCCTTCAGTAAGTGTTCTGTCGGAGCTGTTCCACGTGTAGATGTATTTCTGGTGTATCTGTGGGGAGGAAGGTGATCTCCGTGTCTTACTCTTCCGCCATCTTCCCCTCTAGTATCTTTATCAGTTTTTCATAAAGCTAGATATACACCTAACCTATTACACAAACACTTTCACTTTTAGGAATTACCCAAGGAAAATGAAAAGATAAGTGTACACAGTAACATGAACACAGATGCTTATAGCAGCTTCTTTCATAATAATAAAGAACTGAAAACAGGCCAGATGTCCATCAACTGTTGAACGTATAAATCATGTGTAGTTTACCAATATAGCTAAATAAGACTAGGTGATAAAAAGGAATGAATCATTGATGCGCACGCCCAACATAGTGGATCTCAAAAGAGGCTTCATTGAAAGTATTTACATGTATGATTCCATTATTTGAAGTTCTAAAACAGACAAAAGTAATATGTGGTGGAAAAAATAAGAACAGTGGTTGCCCCTAGGGGATGAGGATGAGGCTAATTGGGAAGAGACCTGAGGAACCTTTTCATATGACCCAGCAGTCCAGCTCCTGGGTATTTACCTAAGAGAAATGAAAATTTAAGTTCATACAAAAACTTATCCATGAGTGTTCATATCAGCTTTATTAAAAATTTGCAAAACCTGGAAACAACCAAAATGTCCTACAATAGGCCAACGGGTAAACAAACTGTGGTACATGCACACAATGGAATACTACTCAACAATAGAACATAACTACTGATACACATAACAATCTAGATGAACCTCAAAAGCAGTATGTTTAGTGATAGGAGCCAACCTCAATAGCTGACACACTTTATGAATCCACTTGCAAGACATATGGGAAAGGCAGTTCTTAGAGATGGAGAACAGAGCAGTGGTTGTCAAGGGTTAGGTCTGAAGAAAGAGTTTGACAACTGTTGAGAGTTTAGTTAAACTACTCCATAATATTGCAGCCTCTGCATTCTTTTTGTATGGCTAAGGGGCCTGCAGGGGCCTTGGGTGGACTGAAACCTAACCTCAAGGGCATGCCCTGGATGGCAGCCAGCTAAGTCACAAGAAAGTGTAACTGATATGAGTTCCCCAAAGCCCCTGGTGATAAAACAGTCTCTTCCGCCTCCCAGCTCCTTCCCCTTGTGGGTCCCTTAGATAGGACTCCAACAGAGCTTATGAAAACCCTGCTCTTTTTATGGTTTTGAATTGCCAGTCTGGCCTTATCCAGGGAACCTCAGAAACACATCACCTATGGACCCTAATAAAGGCATAAGCTGCAGGTCCTGCTGCTTGCCCTCTGCCTGTACCCTGCCTTGACCTCCTGTGTGGCCCTCCAGGTGTGCTGTGTACCTCATCCAGGACCTGTGAGTACAGTAATAAACTTCTCTACTTCACTTTCCCTTGTGGTCTTTGTTGAATCTTGGCTCACCATCCAACTCCCCACACAGGACTCTACGTAACAAACGTTATTTTAGCAAAAATCAAGCACTTAAACGGGGCCAGCAGACCAGGGACTTTCCTGGGTTGCTGGAGCTGTTCCATATCCTGAATGTGGTGGTGGATACACACATATGTACATGTGCTAAATTCGTAGAACTGGGCTCCAAAAGAGGGTGATTTTATTGCATAATATTAAAAAAAAAGAAATAACAGAGTGCCATGGACTGCATGCAGTACTATCCCCACTACTTGGTAAATTCTTCTTTTAGCACAACTATATTTTTATATATTTTAAAAATATATTTTATGTTATATATTATATATCAGGTTTATATATCGAATATATGTAATTTCTCTCTAACTCTTCTAACCACTATTCTGAAATGGTGCGCAGGTATTACACTCTCATTATTAAAAATGAAGAAATTAAATTTCATTAAAAGGCTAGTACCCTATCAGGGAAGCAGTAGGCATAAAGTTTCTCACTAATCAAAAATACGTAAGGCATAAACATATAGAATTAATTTTAAAACGTGTGTCTCACACGTGGTTACTACTCTAGCTTTCTATGCTAAACCGCCATTTCCACGGTGACATGCAAATTGAGTGATCGGAGGCAGAGCCCGGTCCAGCGAAAGTCACATATGCAAATTGAGGGTTTGGGAGAAAAGCCTTTCCAGTGTCAAGATTCATATGCAGGAATCTTGAGGGTAGGGGCTGTGCCTGGTGCAAGCTTCGTATGCAAACCAGGGGTGCTGGGGTGGGGCCTGGCCGGGCGCCCGCCCACTGTTGCTAGGTTACAGCTTGTTCACGCAGGTTGCCAAGCAGGGCATCTCTTGGCATCTCTAGGGGAACACAACCAAAAACTCTTGACCCCGCGTGACCCTAATTCTGACTTTGCCTATGTGTTGATTGTGTCCCGCCCACCCCAATCCCGATCACGCCTCAATCTTCCCGTCAAAGCCCCTGCCCCATGGGAGTCCATGCCAAGCGCTCTGTCCGCCCACCCCTGCCTCCCGCACCCAGGGCGGTCAGTCGCCTTGGCACCCTCACCCTATCACGACGCCGCCCTCGCGGTGTCGAGCGCCACCGCAAGGAACCCCGTCCCTCTGGGGACTTTGGCCTGGCTCCGACTTGCTCAGAGCCAACGGGGCAGCCTTCTGTTGTCCGGCCTCACCCCAGGCCCCAGTCCGCCCCCAGCCCCGCCGCAGCCAGCCTCTCCCACCCAGGGCCACCCCATGCACTGTCACCGTGGGAGACCGCTCCTCTCTGTGACCCCCGACTCCACGCCCCCCACCCCCCAACTCCGGCCAGACCCCCGCCCCCATCCCTCCGACGAGGGGTGTCCCACCACCACCACCTCCCACTCCAAGTGAGTGAAGCATGCGCAGGGGGTCTCTTGAAACACTTTATCGACTCGCAGTGACTGTGCCCAAGGCGGCGGGCAGGCCGGGGCCGCCCGGGCTGTGCGGTCGGTCGGTGAGCGGGCCTGGCGCCTGACGGCCGCGCCCCCCCGGGGGCCGGGAACCCAGGTGTCGTTGGGCAGCTAGGGCTGGGCCAGGGCCACCTGGGAGATGGTGCTATAGTCCTGAACAAGTCGCTGAGCAGCACGTTGCTGCGGGCCGCCACGTCCACCGGCTCCGGAGTGAGGTGCCTCCTGCTGCTGTTCTGGGCCTCATGGCGCGCCAGCTCCAGGACCCTGGCCGCCAGGTACTGGGTGATGGCCACTAGGTAGACGGGTGCGGACGAGCTCAGGCGCTGGGCGTAGTGGCCCTCCCGCAGGAGGCGCTCCATGTGGCTCACGGAGAAGGACAGCTCGGCTCCGGCGGTGTGGGAGCGGCGACCGGGTGACTCTCGATGGCCCCTCTTCCCCAGCATTCTGGCCGTTGGGCGCGCTTTCTGCGACGGCCTCGCTCTGCGGTGCACTGGGATGAGGTGCGGCGGAATGAGGGTCGGTCGGGTTGTGCCTGCTGGTCCCAACATCTCAAGACAACCGGTGTTCTCAGGCCCCTCCTCCGTATCCTAGCGACCATAGGCCGGGCCCTCATTGGTCGGGGAGCACCCTGTGAGGTCACTGCTTTCCCATAACCCCTCCCCCACCCCACCTCACCCCACCCCCACCCCCTCCGCCGGGGTCCTGGGCCTGCAAAGAAATAGCGCTGGCAGGATCCTGCTCGCTGTGCTCGCTGGACCCTCTCTTTGGTGGAACTCTCACTGTCCACCAGACGGGAACTTTGTACAGAGAAGGCAGCTAATGGCGGACCATCCAGGGGCACCAAGTATACACTGGCGGTGCTGGGCCACCATCACGACTATATATCTGCTTCCAAATGAATAATATTCCTGGCTGAATAATATTCAGCAGGCTGAATAACATTGCAATGCATGGCTAGACCACACATGTTGTGTATCCGCTCAGCAGCTGATGTACATTTGGGTGACTTCCGCCTTGTGCCTGTCGGGCATAGTGCTCTGGTGAACATTCCTGTGCAGGGTTCTGTTTGAACACCTGTTTTCAACTCATTTGGGTTTACAACCCATGGGATAGATCTATGGGTTTATTTCTGGACTCCACTGATCTATGTGTCTATCCTTATGCTAGTACCACATAGTTTTGATAACTGTAGCTTTGGACTAAGTTTTGAAATAGGGAAGTGTGAGTCCTCCAACTTTTTTCTTCTTTTCCAAGATTATTTTGGCTATTCAAGGTCACTTGAAATTCCGTATGCATTTAGGATTGGCTTTTACATTTCTGTAAAACAGAGCATTGTGATTTCCATAGGGATTTCATTAAATCTCTAGACAACTTTGGGTGGGATTGCCATCTTAAAAGTATTAAGTCTTCCCGTCCACAAAATCTGCTGTCTTTCCCCTTTTCTTTTTAAGGTCATCATTCATTTCTTTCAGCAGTGCTTTGTAGTTTTCAGTGCACAAGCCTTGCACCTCCTTGGCTAAATTTATCTCTGTGTGTTTTATTCCTTTTGATGTTGTGTGAAATAGAACTGTTGTCAATTTCATTTTGGATTATTTTTTCATTGCTAGGATATGGAAACACAACAGATTTTTGTGTGTTGATCTTGTATACTGCAACTTGGTTGAATTCGTTTGTTAACTCTAATAGTGTTTTGTGGATTCTTTAGGGTTTCCTGTACAGAAGAGCATGTCATCTGAGAATAGAAGTAGTTTAACTTCCTTTCCAACTTCGATGCTTTTCATTTCTTTTTCTTGCCTCATTGCTCTGACTAGGACTTCCGTTACAGTCTTGAGTAGAAGCACTGAAAGCAAGGATTCTTCTCTTGTTCCTGATGTTAGGGAAAATGCTTCCAGTCTTCCACCATTGAGTATGACATTAGCTAGGGTATTTCATAAAAGCCTTTTATTTTGTTGAGGAATTTCCCTTCTACTCTTAGTTTGCTGGGTGTTTTTTGTTTGTTTTTTAATCATGAAAGTTGTTAGATTTTGTTGAATGCTTTTTCTGCATCAACTAAGATGATCATGAGGGTGTTTTCCCCCTTCATTTTATCAATGTGGTTTTGATTAATCAGTTTTCTTATGTTGAGCCATCCTTGCATTCCTGGGATAATTCCTATTTGGACATGGAATTTAATATTTATAATATGCTGCTGGATTCAACTTGCTAGAATTCTTCCGAGGATTTTTGCATCGATATTCATAAAAGCTATTGGTCTGTAATTTTTCGTATATCTAAGAGTGGAATTGCAGTGTCATATGGTAATTCTATGTTTAACTTATTGAGGAACCACCACCCTACTGATTTCCACAGCAGCTCTACCATTTTTTCATTCCCAACAAGCAGTGTATGTGTGTCCCAATTTCTCCACATCTTCTCCAAAACTTGTTATTTTCTGGGGTTTTTTTTGCTTCGTTTTGCTTGTATTAGCTATCCTAGTGGGTGTGAAGTGGTATCTCATGGTGATTTTGATTTGCATTTCTCTAATGACTAAATACGTTGAGCATCCTTTCCTGTGCCTCTTCGGCATTTGTACATCTGCTTTGGAGGAATGCCTATTCAAGTCCTTTGCCCATTGTTTAACTGGGTTGCTTATCTTTTTGTTGTTGACTTGTAAGGTTTCTTTATGCATTCTGGAAAATAGACCTTTCTCAGATATATGATTTGCAAATGTTTCTGCCATCCTATGGGTTGGGCTTCAAAGTGGCTCAGTAGTTGTGGTGCACGGGCTTAGTTGCTCCGTGGCATGTGGGATCTTCCCGGACCCGGACCAGGGCTTGAACCCGTGTCTCCTCTGCATTTGCAGGCGGATTCTTAACCACTGTGCCACCAGGGAAGCCCACTTCTTTTTAAACCAACGTTTAGACAGTGTCATTAAATAAACATCCTTTTCAATGCTAAAACCCGAGTCACTTGTGGCCTTTTCCTGGAAGAGATTTTTGCTGCTGTCAGGTTACAAGAACAGCATAAGAGGCCATTTTCTGGGCATGGAGCCCAGGTTTCAAAGGGAAGCTCTAGAGAACATCTGGTCTGCTTGATATATCGAAACTGCATGTGTGTGTTTGTGTGTATGTGTTTCTCTCTGCTGACTCATAGCATTGAAGCGTCTTTGGAAACTCCCCCACCCTTCTAGCCAGCCAGTTTATACACACGCCATCGGCTCCTCCTTGATTCAAATGTTAGGTCAAGAGGAAGAAAGAGAACAAATTCAAGAGTTACTCTCAAGCATCTAGAATTTTCTGCACCTCTTGAAGAGAGACTAGCCCAGCTCTGACTATTACAAGCTGGACTTTCCTCTTAAAGCACAACCTTCATTTAAGCCTTTGGATAAAACTGGAAGAAAAGAATCTGTGAGTACTGTGGACTGCACAGAAGGCAGGGGGCTGAAAACTGGCAATAAAAACAGAAAGATGGCAGACCCGAGGCCCAGCAGTGAAACAGACCCTGAAATTGAGCTTTTTGTGAAGGTAAGTTTTCTAGCTATAATGAGAGCATACAGAATGTATTATTCCTTGACACTGGACCTCAGCTTTTTTTTTTAAGTCAACATTTCAGCTAGAGATAGGAAATAATTTTGTAATTTTATACCTACTCTGAGTCCTAGAAGAATACCTGGGTGTTTGGCTGCTCTTATATAACAATAGAAAAACACCCCATCTGGAAAAAGCAAGAAGATATGGTAGAAAGACAACTAGACTGGCTGGTAGTTAGAACAAGTTAATTGTATTATTAGTGACTTCCTATGTAACCTTGGACAAATCCCTCCCTCCCTCTTTGTTTTTCCATCTGTACAATAAAGGAGCCTGACAAAATGATCCTTAAGGGCTTTCCAGTTCTCATAATCTGTGTTTTATGAGATATGTTTTGGAAGGCCTGAATGTGGGGAGGAGAGGGCCAAGAATGGCCTGAGAGCCTCATTGCCACACATGGTCCAAATAGAGCTTTCAAAAATTCTCCCACAATGGATGAACATCACAGCAGGGTCAAACGGACACTAGAGGAGAAAAAAGCCAGGAGTCTGTGTGCCTGTTATATGAGTAGGAGTTTTTTTGCCTTGGCTTTTTTTTTTTTTAATGTCTTAACATTTCAGAAAAGCCCTTTGGAAAACCCCTAAAGCAGGAGAAAGGAACATGTGTTTCTAAATTAGCTCATCAAGAAAAAGAAAAATTTTGCACGGGTTATTCCAAGTAGAAATTACATAGTTTCCTAAATCCTTGCTTATATTAACTATTTTTCTCTATATTTTCATTGACTATTGGAAGTATTGAGGATGGTAATAATAAAAACAAACTCTTATATCATGCTTAACCCTTTTGTAACACTTTATGTATATTATCTCATTTAGTCCTAACATCTTAGAAGATAGGTTAATAGTAGTAAAGTAGTATCATCAGTAGCAGTGGTGGTAATAGTACTCAAAACTTTAGTAATATTGTCCTCATGATTTCTAGGTAAGTAAGCTAAGGAAATAAGGTTTAAGTAACTTGCCTCTAAAAACTACATCGCCTCTTGATGGCCTACAAAGGCATAAAATAAGGTGTGCTTACCAAATTTTAGGTTAAACATCTGTTGGCCAAAGTAATACTTTTACAATAATTTTAAAATATTTGACAACTGGTCACATATATACATCAAGGACATAATTAACCAGCCTTTACAAAATTATAGGAGACTCTTGAATTCCTGCATAGCAAAACAATCCAAGTAAGTGTTTGCTTGACTGTGGGGCATAAGAGCTACTTCTCCTATCTCTGGATTCTAGCAAAACATGTCACTGCTCAGACGCAACGTAAGTAAGCCTTAACTTCCTAACTGACTTCTTATAACTACCAATTCCAAACCAGAGGTAATAAGTCTCTTCATAGGGTAACTAGTTTCTTTTGTCTAAACTTGTTTATTCAATCCAATCAAACTCCTCTAACCAGTTGTTGGCATTGATCTGTGTGTTTATCTTCATAGACTTCCCGTAATTTGGATGGTAATCGAGACAGGGGAAGTTAGGAAATCACACGTTGGATGAGCAAATGTTAAATTAAATAATAACTTTCAGGTTAAAAACCTAATCATTTATTGAGTACTTATGGCAGGGGCTGTGCTAAGTGGTTTATTATTAACTCTATTTTATGGTTACAGAAACTAAAGCAAAAAGTAGCTAAGTAGCTTTGCATAAGGTCACATAGCTAGTAAATGGCAGGGTCAAGATTCCAGTCCCTTAAAATAGCTGTGCATAATTTTAATTCATTGTTTTCAACTTGGCACACTTTTTAGTAACATTTCCCAGGATTTCATTAGATGAAATCCTCTAGATGTTAGCTTATCTAATGACATTGATACAAGCCACAGATTTTCTGGAAGAACCTTTAGTATCATCTGATCTGGGTTTTTGTTTTGCTTTGCTTTGAGATGGATTCCAAAGATCTCTAGAAGTTTCATAGAAGAGGGGGAATAGGGGCTGAGAGGGGTGAAAATGTTAATGAGAAAATTTAAAAAGCACTACTGTTTACCAGTTGTATCTCCCTTATAATGTGGTATCTTTCTAAAGATTAAATGAGTCTGTAATTTCCCCAGCTATGTCTGGGGACCCTACCACAATTTCCCAATGCCACTGATGGGATCCCTACAAGAAAGTAAGTCCTTTCCTGACACAATTAAGAATTTATATCACACCCCCCATGTGTTCCATGGAGTGAGTGAAAACATTGCCTTTCAACTCTGAATGATTTCGGCAAGATTTATATCCAGGAACTAAGAACAAAGGATTTTCTAAAAGAACACATTTTGTTTTCTCTAAATGCAGAGTTTACCTTATTGGTTTGTTGTTCATTGATAGATGGAGTTTTTGTGTTCTCTACCAGTCTAAAATTAAGTTTTCATAGATTTGTACATAACATTATAGACTCTAACATTTGGGCCAAAATCCTGAATGTAATATTTTTGTCTTTATTGATAAATGTAAAATAGAAAAAGAGATGATACTCTTCTCTGAATGTTCAGACTATTTTCAAATTATCTTAGAACTATCATAAAGACTATTATAAAGACTGATTAATAAAAAATCCAATAAAACTATTAGATGGGATAAAGCAGTGTTTAAGGAGTGTGGATTGTGGAGTAGACAGTCCTGGATTAGCTACATGAGAAGAGTGTATGGGTCATCAACTCTTGTCTAGCTGAGTGTACTTGAGCAAGTCAGCTTCTCTGAACTTCAATTTCCTCATCTGTAAAACAAGAGTAATGACAGAACCTACCTCACAGGATCATCTTCATTATAAGCATTAAATAAAATAAATTTTTAAGACACAGTAGTTGTTAACATAGCAAACATTCAATAAATGTCAGATGTTCCAGCCATTACTATTTTTCATGTTTAGAAACATAGATCACAAACGCAAAGAGAAAAAGTTGTTTCGGTGAATGACCACATCGTGGTAGTTTTCACATCCATTTCTCCAGGAGGTGGGTCAAAAAGATCTTGCTGTGATTTTTGTCATAGAGTGTTCTGCCTATGTTTTCCTCTAAGAGTTTTATAGTGTCTGGCCTTACATTTAGGTCTTTAATCCATTTTGAGTTTATTTTTGTGTATGGTGTTAGGGAGTGTTCTAATTTCATTCTTTTACGTGTAGCTGTCCAGTTTTCCCAGCACCACTTATGGAAGAGCCTGTCTTTTTTCCATTGTATATTCATACATTTTGTGTAGTTGCACTTTAAATCAGCATTATTATAAACAGAAAAAAATTCAGTTTTCCTGTAAAATTGTGCTACATTTCCCCCACACCTCACTGTTTTGCCTTTCCTTTTGCCAAAGGCAACCCACCCTTCCTGCTGTATCTATTATCAGACTTCGTTCTTCTTCCTGCCTAATCAAGTTTCCATTCACTAACCCCAGTTATGATTGGATCTTTAGCCTGACTTCTGTTACAAAAGAAATTCAGCTGCCAAGGTGGTTGCCTCTTCCCATACCTCTTCACTCCCTGACGCCACAAAAGAGCAACAATAAACATTATTTCCTCTGTTGTACTCACTGCCAGGAAAAGGAAAATTTACCAAAAAATAAGAATTATGCCCAAGATCAAGGTGTCAGTATGGTCAGTTTCTGGTGAGAACTCTCTTCCTGGTTTATTATAGATAGGTGCCTTCTTGCTATGACCTTATATGCATAGTTGTTGGGGGAGATGAAGAAAGAGAGAAAGAAAAAGAGAGAGAGCGCTCTGGTTTCTTCTTATAAGGGCATTAATCGCATCGTAAGGGTTCTACCCTCATGACCTCATCTAAACCAATCACTTCCCAAACACCTCACCTCCAACTACCATCACGTTGGGGGACAGGGATTCAACATTTTAATTTGGGGGGAACACAATTCACAAATCCAAAGTAGATAGCAGTGCACTTCACAGGATTAGGAACTCTAAAGAGTAGGTAAGTGTGTGGAGTAAAGAAAAGGGAAAGAATTCACTTTGGGACATGTTGAGATTGAGGTGTCTATAACTTGGATCTCCCCTCAGGAGACAACATCAGCTATAGCCTTCTCAAGGAGAGGCTCCCCTTTCTTCCTCATTTCTATTACCACTGAGGGTGGCGATGAGGTAGATGTCTTTAGATGTCCTTGCTCCTCATTCTTGTTTCCAGACCATTCTATCTCTCCCATCCAGAGAAATATCTCGGTTGTCTCATAAAATCAGACTAAACCAACCACTACCCCTCCTTGTTATAGTAGTCTTCCCAATCCCAGGTCACTTTCCCTTACTTCTTAAGGATTTTATTTCCTGGATCATTGTCACACTCTTCAACACTATGCCTATCATAATTCTTGGTGATTTTAATATCTACACAAATGACCCTTCCAACACTCTGTCCTCTCACATCCTTGGCTTTCTGTCCTCCAGTGACCTTGTTCTTCATAATCTCTCAGGCACTCCCTTCCATGGTTATACCCTTACCTTTGTCATTGCAATGTCTGCAATCGCTGCATAATATCATTTATTTGAGGGGTTTTTTGTTCTTCTTTTTGAAATTTTCCATTTTAATACACTTTATTGAGGTATAATTTACATAAAGTAAGATGTGCTCATTTTTCACTGAAGTGTCTCTGATTTACAATGTGGTGTTAATTTCTGCTGTACAGCAAAGTGATTCAATTACATATATATATACACACATCCTTTTTCATATTCTTTTCCATTATGGTTTATCACAGGATATTGAATATAGTTTCCTGTGCTATACAGTAGGACCTTGTTGTTTATCCATTCTATATATAATAGTTTTCATCTACTAATCCCAAACTCCCAATCCATGCCTCTCCCATCCCCTGCCCCTCTTGGCAACCACAGTCTGCTCTCAATGTCTATGAGTCTGTTTCTATTTCATAGATAAGTTCATTTGTGTCATATTTTAGATTCCACATATAAGCCACATCTATATTTGTCTTTCTCTGTGTGGTTTATTTCCCTCAGTATGATAATCTCTAGGTACATCCATGTTGCTGCAAATGGCATTATTTCATTTTTTATGGCTGAGTAGTGTTCCATCATATATATATATATGGTATATATTATATATATACCATTCCATTATATATGTATATTATATATACCATTCCATTATATATATAATGGATATATATATATATCATATCTTCTTAATCCATTCATCTGTCAATGGACACTTAAGTTGCTTCCATGTCTTGGCTATTCTAAATAGTGCTGCTATGAGCATACAGGTGCATTTTCAAATTATAGTTTTGTCTGGATACATGCCCAGGAGTAGGATTGCTGTATCATATGGTAACTCTGTTTAAATTTTTTAAGGAACCTCCGTACTGTTCTCCATAGTGACTGCACCAATTTACGTTCCCACCAGCAGTGTAGGAGGGTTCCCTTTTCTCCACACCCTCTCCAGCATTTATTATTTGTAGACTTTTAATGATGGCCATTCTGACCAGTATGAGGTGGTACCTCATTGTAGTTTTGATTTGCCTTTCTCTAATAATTTGCTATGTTGAGCAAAAGATGAATTTTTAAATGAGTGGTGTTAAGACAACTATTAACTATTTGTAAAATAATAAAATAAAAATAATAAATCTGGAGTCCCAATACATTCCTTATGCCAAAATAAATTCTAAATAGATGAAACAAATGCAAAAATGAAACCGTAAAGTTACTAGAAGAAAACATGAGGGAACATCTTTATAGTAAAACAAAATAAGAAAGTAATTTTTTTCTTTGCAATCTTGATGTACATAACAGCTGTGTAAGCAGATCAGGAAAACCAGATTTCATAAAGGAAAACAATATAAGATTTTATGTAAAATTTTAATTTTACATAAGGCATTGTTTAAAAATTACATGTAACTTTATCAAAAAGAGTTAGTGTCTTTAGTATACAAGTAATTTTTCCAAAGTAATAAGGAAAAGGTCATCACCTTAATAGATAAATATAAAATTGTCATGAACAAACAAGTCACAGAATAAGGAAATCAAAGTTCCAATGAAAATACTGAATATACCTTTCAAGAAGGAAATTTGGCAGGATCTATGAAAATGGAAAATGAACATAGTCTTTAGTCAGCATTCTGTTGTTATGTACTCATCACTCTGGTAATTTTACATACAATGAAATTATTTGCTTCATTATCTCTCTCTGCCCACAGATGGTAGAATTCATGAGATTAAGGACTACCAACTTTGTCTCTAGCAACTAGCTTATTTCCCAGCAGGCACTCAATACATACTTATTGAGCAAATGAATGAATGAAGCCTTTCTTTATCTTAATAGGCTGGAAGTGATGGGGAGAGTATTGGAAACTGTCCCTTTTGCCAACGCCTTTTTATGATCCTCTGGCTTAAAGGAGTTAAATTCAATGTGACTACCGTTGACATGACCAGGTAAGACAAATCAGGACATGTTTCATTCTGGGGATTAAAATCAGTAGACACCAATACAATGTTGGTGTTTGCATAATGTGTACTTTATCTAGAGGCCTAACTCTGCTTATTTTCAATAATCATAGAAAGCCTGAAGAGCTGAAGGACTTAGCCCCAGGCACAAATCCTCCCTTCCTGATATATAACAAGGAGTTGAAAACAGACTTCATTAAAATTGAGGAGTTCCTAGAGCACACACTGGCTCCTCCAAGGTACAACATTTTTACAGGATATTATTGTTCTTGAGATAATCTATTTTATTGGCTTATTTATTGCAGATTGAGGATTCTTCTAAACATCTAACTCTTTTTCAATTTCAGACTTCTCTTTTGCTATCTTTCTAGAAAAGTTTGCAAAGATCCCCCGATCACTCCATGTATGATTAGAAAACTTTACTACATAATTATTTATTTAACATATGTAAAGCTATTAAAACTTTATGTGATGCAAGTAGTATATTAGGAATGGGCAAAGGATAGACTTGGAAATTTAGGGAGGACAAGTAAATTTAGGCCACATTTAATTTTATCCATGTTATCTGATCCATAATGAAGTTTGGGGACATTTATACTGACAGAAGTCAGACTTATTTTATTGTAGAGCCCTCAGAAGATCTACAATTTTGAAATAGCCTTTAATTCAGTCTGATCTCTTAGCTCTACAGGTTGAGAAATATTATGTCTATCACACATAAACTTCCCCCCTTCAACTTCAAATACACAAAGACAGTCAATATAATATTTCAAATTATTTTTAAAATGCATAGCTTGCTTAAAATAAGAAAGTAAATTCTCTGTAGTCTAGAAATAGAGAAGAAACCTATGGTGGGTTAGGAGCGAGGGCATGGGGTAATAGCACTGTATAGTCCATGAGGACTGGTCAGGACTAGTCCATTATACCACTGATGGCATGAAGATAGAACATACCCAACACAAGAAAACCAAGAAACAGGTCTCTCACAGTTAGCCAGAGGCCATAACTCCACTGTCTACACTTGAATGACAGCTGTATGTCTCTGCCCACCCAGGATAGTATCTGGAAACAATAAGCCTACTGTATTCATTTTTTATTTCTGTGCAACAAACTCAGTGTCTTAAAACGTCACTCACTTATTATCCCACAGTTTTCACTGGTCAGAAGTCTGGCTGTAAACTTAAAACTGCTCTAAAAAATAATGTCTTAATCATTACACATACATATGATAAATAAAAGGTTCTATCGGTCCAAAATTCTTCCTACCTAAGAAATTAGGGATACTATTTTAGATTCTTTTCTGTGTACCTATACTATGTCTCTTTCATCCATTATTGGTGGCTTCTTATATTTTAAGCACCGGCTCCAAGTGTTGAGTCTTATTTTGTTCTTTTCTCCTCATCTATCCTCCTCTACTACTGCCTCCCCTCAAACCATCTCTCCAACCTTTTCTTGCTCCCAAAGGTTAACTAGTGAAAAAATCTATTGTGTTATCTTTCCATACCCGTTTTTATGTTCATATAAGCACAATAACAAATTCCCTTTCCTTCCAGTTTTTTACCACTACAAACAGTGCTATAAATAACATCCTTGCTCATATGTCCTTATGTACTGGTGTATTTATTCCCGTGGAATAGATTTCCAGGAGTAAAATTCAAATGGTACATATCTTTTAAAATTTTTACTGCTTTATCCATCAGTGTATAAGTATACACTTTTCCCACATATCTGTAGTACTATGCGTTATCACTCTTTTAAAATTCATGGCAACCTGACGGGTGTAGTGATAGCTCACTGATACTTTAGTTTGCATTTCCCTGAATAATAGGTGAATTAGAACATCTTTACACATGTTGGTTGAGCATTTGGTTTTGTTCTGTGAATTACCTTGTCAAATTCTTCTGATTTTCTCTTAGCTTATGTATCATTTAGGGATTGCATTCAACTCTAACTAGAGGCCCAAAAAGTAGTGGTTTAGATAAATATGGGTTTTATTTTTCTTACATAATAAGACACCAAGAATGAGGCATTGTAGGGGTAGAATGACAGCTCCATAATTTCACTGGCGACCCAGGCTCTATCTAATATTTCTTTTCTGCCATTCTTCAGGTGAGTTTTCCAGTCTTAAGTTTAATTCACGGTGACAATATGTCTGCTGGAATTCCAGGCAACAGATCTAACTCCCACACAGGAAGAAGGAGAAGGGCAAAGGGCAAAAGATGCAAGTCAGCTTTAAGGAGGTTTCACAGAAGCCACATTCAACAATTTCCATTAACATCTCATTATTCAGAAGTAATTCACATAGTCATACCTAAATACAAAGGGAAGCTAGGAAACATAGTTTTCATCCATGTTTATTGCCATCCCTAATAAAATAAGATTCAGTTAATGAGAGACAGAGAGAGAGGGAGAGAGAGAGAGGGAGAAAGTGGTACATAACTGTGTTATCTTCCATATTCTGCCCCTCTGACCATCCAAATAAATGTGTGTATCCTTATTCCCATACATGGAACACACTTACTCCCAAGAGAGATAACTCCCAAGTCCCCTACAGTTACTGCATCCAGTTCAAAGTCCAGGATCTTTGAGTGATGCGCAACATCTCTCTTAGATATTAATGGTCGAACAGTCAGATAAATTAAAAGACAAGTTCTTTCCACCTTCTGCTTGACACATGCAATAGTCAGTGGTGGAGCAGGAATTGGATAACTGGAATAAAATTTTCCATTTTTAAAAGGAAATATAGGATAACACATCCCTGGTTCATAATAGTTACCATTGTTGGAGAAAACAGCTGGAAGATATATTCCAAGTTTTGGTGTTACAAACAATGCTAAAATGAACTTTCTTTTGACAAGGTCCTCCAGAGTGGTTATTTAGTCTGCCACATTGCTGAATACCAGAGCTCTTCCATATAATCTTTGTTTCATCTAAAATTTTAAAACCTGTTAGATACCCACATCAATGAAAATGGTGGAGTAGGGAACTCCAAAATGTCATCCCTCCATAATAACAATTAATAGCCCAGCAAAAGCTGTCAGAATCAACTTTGCCAGAACTCTGGAATCTAACCAAAAGTTTACAAGCAGCCTGGGGTTTCTTAATGAAGAATAAAGAAGCAAAATTTCAGTAAGAGAGCCCTGTGGCATTTTAGGTTACCCTGTTACCATCCTCAACTACTCAGTTCTTTAGAAGCCTTAAAGAGAGCAGTCCACATTGCAGAAACAGGTTGCTCGTACCAGAGGACAGGATATGGACCTTATTCTCAAATAACTGTGGTTGTGTGGTTTGACCTGGTGGCACCTCGAGGGATTGACTCAAGGGGTTGCCTTTTTTTTCACCTACTTTGGAGCTTCCTCAGGGCTGAGGCAGCTTCCCTGTTGGCACTCATGGAAGGCGTTTAGAAGCAAATGTATTAGCCACTGCCACATGGGACAAGGAATAAAACTTGGAGAAAGCAATAGACAAACTGAAAAGTCTGCAAATAAAAGAGGCTGAGATGGGACTTCCCTGGTGGTGCAGTGGTTAAGAATCTGCCTGCCAATGTAGGGGCCACAGGTTCAAGCCCTGGTCCAGGAAGATCCCACATGCCATGGAGCAACTAAGCCCATGTGCCACAACTACTGAGCCCACGTGCCAAAACTACTGAGCTCGCGAGCCACAACTACTGAAGTCCACGCACCTAGAGCCCATGCTCCGCAACAAGAGAAGCCACTACAATGAGAACCCCATGCACCGCAATGAAGAGTAGCCCCCGCTCGCTGCAACTAGAGAAAGCCTGCGTGCAGAAATGAAGACCCAACGCAGCCAAAAATAAATAAATAAATTTATTTTTTAAAAAATAAAGAGGCTGAGACACTTGGGAGATAGTGGAATAAGGGCTTTAAATTAATGTATTCCAGGGAATCTAGAAGTCCAAGCACATGCCCAAGTCTCGACCTATGCGCAGAAAAAACAACCTGAGAAGACTTTAAGCTTTCACTTCTGGCTAAATTCAGGCACCACACAAGTAGAAAGTGAAGGCTAAGGCAGAATTATAAACTGCATACCTAAGCATTGAAGGAGTACCCAAACACAGAGCCAGCTCACAAACACCAGGAGAGCTTTTTATCCCTTGGTTTGTTGTTTGTGTGTTTGTATCTTTGTTTGTTTTGCTTCCAGGAGTTTAAGGAAATTTCTGTCAAATCAATAACTGACCAAAGATAATGAGAAAAAGATTTCAGTGGCCACACACAAGAAAGAATAGACTTTACAAAAATACTTCAGAAAATTCACTAAACAAATAAACAACAACACTCAAAAAAAGCAACAACAAACCCTATTTGTTGGAAGGGAAGGGAAGAATCTGTTTTCCAGAGTTTCCACATTATAATATTAAAGTGTCCTATTTTCAAAATATATATATAAGGTATGTCAAAAAAAAAAAACAAGGGGCTTCCCTGGGGGCACAGTGGTTGAGAATCTGCCTGCTAATTCAGGGGACACGGGTTCGAGCCCTGGTCTGGGAGGATCCTACATGCCGCGGATCAACTAGGCCCATGAGCCACAACTACAGAGCCTGTGCGTCTGGAGCCTGTGCTCTGCAACAAGAGAGGCCGTGATAGTGAGAGGCCCACACACCACGATGAAGAGTGGCCCCCGCTTGCCACAACTAGAGATAGCCCTCGCACAGAAACGAAGACCCAACACAGCAAAAATAAATTAATTAATTGATAAACTCCTACCCCCAACATCTTCTTAAAAAAAAAAAACAAGAATGTGTGGCCCATTCACAGAAAAAAAGTAATTAATAGAAATTGTCCCTGAGGAAACAGGGACAAGGAAGAGAAAGACTTGTACATGAAGACTACAAACAATTGCTAAAATAACATCCTAGCTTCTCATGGTTTTCCAGCAATCATTACCTTATATATACATAACTCCAACCTTCCATCTTCACATAGCATTCTCCCTGTGTCTCTGTCTCTTCATAAAGTGTTCTTTTTTAAGGACACCAGTCATATTGGATTAATGGGCCCACCTTACTCCATATGGCCTCATCTTAACTATTACAGCTGTAACAATCCTATTTCAAAATAAGGTTACATTATGAAGTATTGGAGTTTATGACTTCAACATACCTTTTTGGGGGGACACAATTCAACCTATACAAATATCCCATGTTCATGGATTAGAAGACCTAATATATTAATGTAGAAATATTCCCCAAAGTGATCTATTAATTCAATGCAATACCAAC